TTCCAGGTTTTCCATGGTGGTCTAACTTCAACTGACTCATGATCTTAATCATTGAGACCATATATATAATTAGAAGACTTGCAAACAAGGTTCACAATAGTGCCAAGCAATAAATAACCTTTAACATTGAGATCAATAGCTATTATGGTAACTCTATTACTTTCAGAGTTTTGTACCCAGTAATTAAAGATTAACCTTTCGTATACATTTGCTACATCATGGTTATCAGAACTGTCATGACGTAATATGTACAATGAGTCAATCTAAAATTGAATAGTAATATTTTATGGAATGATATCAGTAATTTTGATTGTCTAATACAGATTAGTGTGATTTTTTACTGAATAAATACAAATAATTTAATTTTGTTTGCTTTTTGAAGAGATCTTGAAATTACGCAATAAGTTTATATGTTTGTCAGAGTCAAAGAACCAACTAAGTCAGTAGGCATCCATAAGAACACAAAAACAATGTAATTTCCGCTTTGTTTAAATTTTTATTTCTTTTGTTAACGACTTTATTCAATATACAATATTTGGTACAATATAAAATTCTCAGCACAAAGTATTTTAACAAGTTGCCTTTCCTGAGTTCTTGATCGAACCTGATAACTAATATTGAGTGATCGCCTGTTAAATGTTAACACTTTAAGAATTAACATCTGAATAATATTCATTCTTTTCAATAAATATTGCCAACCATCTGTGATTGGACGTTTTCGTAGATTATACTGCGAAAAGCCATAAAAATTTCAAAAACACACTTGAATAGGTTATGTGCTTAGTAGATATAATGATCTGTTAAAACAAACAAGGTAACATATAATTTATTGAAACATCTAGATGGTAAGAACAAGTTGCCCAGATATTCGATCAAGCCGCTAAGTATTTAACTGTTCATTGATACAGAAATGATAAACAAAGATTATGTCCACAAGAATGTTTTATTTTATTTTTTCAGTTTACCATATTCGAATTCATTGGATTCATTTATTTAAAATTTCAACTTTATGAGAAGTAACAATTTCTTTTGTTAATACAAAATGTCAATTTTTTTTGTTTCGTCTCTAGTTCACGATTTTCATTTGTCTTATTCAAATCACAATTCGTAGAAACGAAGAATATTCTTTTCAATAATTTCTCATCAGGTTCTACAATTACCTCGTATCCAATGTAATAATCTATTACATTGGCCAGATTTAAGGCAGAGTACATCATTTAAAATTGTAACATGTGAACTGAGATCATCAAAGAATTATTACTAAAATGTACTATAAATGTACATTTCAAATGCAATGGTGAAATCTACAGACAAATAGATGGTGTCGCGATGGGTTCACTCCAGGATCCCATACTGGCAGACCTTTTCCTCTTTAAACTAGAAAACGGCCCCCTGGAACAACAGAACGATGATTTTTCATTTTACTGAAGACATATGAATGATATATTCATCCTTTGTAACAACCATACGGACTTTATAGAAACACTTGAGCGTTTCAATACAGTTCACCTGTCCATAAAGTTCACATAGGAGAAGGAAAATGGGGGTAGAATAGCCCTTCTAGATGTTCTACTTACAAGGAGAAAAGACGGGTCACTAAGAAGAAACATAAACAGGAAAGTTACCTGGACGGATCAATATACAAAATTTCTTAGTTTTGTTCCTCTACAATACAAAAGGAACCTTATTAAGACACTGCATCATAGAGTCAAGACTATATGCTCTCTGGATACGATTGAAGATGAAACAAAGGCATTATGCATAACCCTGAAGGAAAACGGATATTCCGAGAAATTTATAAATAAAAACATAGCCAATAAAAGACAGCATAGAGAATGCCTAACTGTAAATAAAAAGCCTCTGTATATACGCATCGAGTGAATTGCTAAGACTGAAGTTAAGTAGATCAATTAAAAGGACTTTTAATGCAGGTAAACTACAACCATTGTTTTCCACACGTCCAATAATCACTCCGAGGTTGTAAGATAAATTATCTAGAGTAGCCACCTCTTTCTGTATCTATCAATTCAACTGCTCCTGTGGAGCAAATTATATTGGTAAATGTTCTAGGAATTTGTACATTCGGGCTCGTGAGCACCTCCCCGTGTGGTTAAGCAAAGGTGTAGTCAAAACTGTTAACAGCTCCATTTTAGACCATCTAGTTCAGACGGGACATACAACCAACATGGAACAGTCTACCTAATTCTGTCAGACTGCGAATCCTACAGACGGCTGAAGCAATTGCTATTCGGATCAAAAAGCCAGAGCCTTGCATTAAAAAAATACATCCAGCCACTCTTTTTACCCTGGCCAACTAGTCAATAATCTTATAATATGGTGACGTAATTTGATTAATGTTCATTTTATGCCCTAAACTTATTATTATTATTATCTTTACCATTATTATTAACATCTTTATCATTGTTATTATTAATGTGATTACACTTGATAACCTTTTGAGGAATTTATTCAGTAGTCACCTCTATCTACTATATCTGACCTAATTCATATTATTCTACGTATTACATAATTTCTGATTTGTAATTACATTATTCACTTTCTCACCCCATGTTAACTATGTTTATTCTGATCATTATTTATCGCACAATTTCGTTTCACTTATAAACTAATTCAAGTTAACACTTTATTATTAGTCAGCCCCAACATTAACGATCTGATTTGATTTTATATGACAAACAACAATTCTTAATTCACATATTACAATTTCCAAATGATGTACTCTGACTTAAATCTGGCCAATTGTATGAATTATTAATTTGAACTTATAATTGTAGAACCTGATGAGAAATTCTTGAAAAGAATATTCTTATTAATTATGTTTTAATATAATAGGAATTTTTCAGCGATTATTCAAATTGTATTGTGGTGTGTGCTACATATGTAGACATAAGTAGTATATGATGTTATTCGTGAACAGAATGTCTGGCATCAGAAAGACAAGAAGATTGAACAGTAAAGAATGAAAACAGAATGCAATTTGTGTGAAAATGCAAGAACAATAAAATCTGAGTCATTTTGAGACAATTGATGGACATTTTGCAAATTGAGCATTTAATACATGGTTATTAGATTTTAGTAACTAGTTCTGCAATTTCTTGTTTAACACACTTGATTGTCCCCATTGGTGTTCTTGTTCATTACAATACTAATTTTCGGGACCGTTGTGAACGTTTAATTAAGAGTCGACTGGCTTATGGCTTGTTAAATACATTGATTGAATATGGTGTACATTAATGTATAAATCACTTCCTTGTAAATATTATCTACATAATTAGAAGCATGTTTAAGTCTAATAAAGATAAATAAATAAAATGTAATTTGTATTCATCTTTTACATAATTAGATTGGTATAGAAATCACAGTGAATTTCTCTTTCTAAATAAACTTGAATAATTGTGAAATGTTATTTTTAAACAAACGTATATTTCACTTTATTACATAATTCATATTAAAATAGAAAGTTTGTAAAATTTGGGGTTAATTTATCATAGACACTGATTTTTCACTCGACAACTAGTGAAAATTGAAAAAAATGTAATGAATTGCTGTTCCTTCCATTTATGAAGCTTCTGTGTAGGCCACATCAATAAATCTGTCAAGTATCATAACCAGATCCTTCTGATCTCATAGAAACCAGTGAGTTGAAATCCAGTGATCTACATTTCTGTAACTGAATTAATTATCACTGTTTGTACCGGTTGATGCTCGTATATGATCTTGGATTGACTAAAATCAAAAATACGAACTGTTTTATACAACTCACTGGTTGAAAGCTAACGTGCTTTAATTAGACTTTTAAGGTTCTGAATTCAGTTCTCAACGAATTGTTGGAAAAATACTGTGGAGTTCAGTATTAAGATGAAAACGATTATCAGTGGTCCCTGGTTTTTAATACATGTTTAACCAAAATGAGTTATAATTTGAATTATACTCAGAAGAAATATTTCACAGATATCGATATAAATTCATTGTTAAATAGCTAAGAACTGTGAATTTAGTCCTATTGACTTCAGTCGAACATTAACCATCTAAATCATCCTGGTGAATCCCGAAGATTATTTTTTATTATTGTGACGTAACCAGTCATCTTGATTTTGTAGTAAAAACAACACTGGTTTTTAATAAAGTAAGTTTTTTTATATGATTAACTTCAGTTCAGATTAATTGAATGAGATTAGTTGGCTTATTGAAGGATTAAGTTGTTTCTCATGACTGTAAATACACAAGAACAAAATGTAGTTTACTTTCATTATTTCCCAGTATTGTCTATCATTTGCCATTTTATTAAGCTTTTTTTCATTTTTGGGGGGATTATATGTTTGTATGGTATATTTAAAAAAAGCGTAGTTATAAAGTACTTATCACTATTCATTTAATGCATAGGATAAAACTTGACAAATTGACAATTTATCAGAGCTGCCTACTATATAATTCAAGTTGATTGCGATTTACATTATTTATGTGAATAGATCTTATACGATTAAATCCATTACACTTGGATACACAATTTAACATTAATCTAACGTTTGAGATATTTAGATCTTGTTAACAGTTTATTTTTTTGTCTAGCTGATAAAATATCTAACTGGTGTTGGAAAAATACAGGATTTTATGTAATTGTTCAACATTAGTATGATAAAACATAACTCGATATTTATTTTCGTAACTAGGTCTTATCATGTTATAGATGTCGGTTAATTACTGAAAGTTATTGTCGTAAACATCTTCATATGTGGAAAACAGTTGGTTAAATGACAGTTAATTTTAATTAAATATAAATGACAAAGATGTATCAAGCCAGCCATATATGTTCTGATTAGTAACAAATAAATATTGAAAATCATTACAGCTATATGACTAACACTTAACTACCAAACGTTTCTCAGTTCAATTCTCCCTGAATATTTGTTGATATAACGCAATGTTTCACTTTCATCCATAATCATCTGTTAGCTATTCTAATTTAATTATTGTTTCAGATGCAAACTTTGTACTTGGTAATGCACAAAGAAAGTATTATCCTATTGTTTACTGTTCTGATGGATTTTTACTGTTAACTCATTATTCAAGAGCGAATGTTATGTCACGTAGTAGTATATGCCAATTTTTATGGGGTTCTGAAACAACGCCAACAGTTCGTATGGAAATCAATCAAGCATTTCATAATCATTATGAATACAGAAATAGAGCTATATTTTATACACGTACTGGTAAGTGAAGCAACGTATGTATGGATATACAATTTTTGTAGATAGAATGTTAGTAATGCATTGATACTTCACTCACCCAATATTAAGAACAAAATTGATTGTGTTTTTTTTTCAAACCGTGAACAAAAACTATATATATATTATTTTTGTACATGTAGAAGACATGACGTTTTGAAGATGAAACTATAATTTATAGACGACCTTTGAACTACTCTAGACTGAACTTGAAAGTGTACACCTAATAACTAGGACCAAATGAAGGTTATAAACATGTGTGTGGAATTAGAATTGTGATTCACAGTTGATGACGAAGGTTAGGAATTAGATTTAGCGTTTTCATCACAAACTGACATAAGCTTTAATGCGAAAACTCTATTTAGCCAAATGGATGAATGAATTTCGAGCCAAAATTCGAGACCAGTTATCTTATACGTGATTGGTTCGTCCATAAATAACAGTCTCGCCATTTTGACTCAAACGAAAAATATATTTTTCATTGAAGCCATACAGACAAGTCAAGTGTACAAAATTGACCACTGTACAAAGGTGATTGAATCTAAATGTTTGCTCTTACATTGACTGAAGTTATTGTAAGAGCTCTAGGAGATGTTGAAAGACATCTGATTCTCCTACAGTTCAATAAATCAAAGAAGTTGGTATTAGGTTAAAAATAATTCAATGTCTAAAATGACTCATTGTAAAAGTCTTCTGAATACAAATTAAGACTTTCTGTGGAAGTGTTATTATCAAAATAAAATAGATTGGAATAACAACATTCAGAGAAATATCTAGAGGTACCTATTTTCAAAAATATAGTTCAGTTCTCAATGTACAACTTAAAACATATCTAACAATTCATCATAATCTACCACCGTTTGGGAATTTAAAATATTCATTGTTTTAAACAACTTAATATAATAATAATAACACAATAAAAAGTTATTAATAATATTCGTTATGACTTTGAACATTGACCATTTACCTAGTGACATTTGATCGCCTGCTCAGATCAACGAGTGTATAAAATATATGTATTCGGAAATCTATTCTCGTATTTGACTTATATAATCCCGTTATTCACTAACACAAATTAAATCGATTATTACATACGATGACATGTGTACTTCAATAATATTCATATGATATAACTAAGTTAGATCACGAGCCACGAAAGTTTATAAGATTTTTTCTGATTTTTTTGTGAGCACTTGAATTTAATCATTTAGATAGGTAGATAACTCATCCTGCCAATACTGTCAGTATCATTGATATATAAAGCCGAAATTATTCTTTTAAATCTGTACAACAAACGTTCAAATGGAAGTCAATATTGAAATTATCACTTGAAAATCTAAATAAAAAATTAGATGGAAAACAAAATATTTTCAAATGGATAGAAATAATTAAAACTAAACTGGGATAATTCTCGTTTATGAGAACAAATAAATATATAGTAACTCACTGATGACAATGGTGGATGTGTCGCTGAATTTCGTGGATTAGTTAGAGTTAGACATTAACACCGTTGGATGATAGCCGGCTCAGTGGTCTAGTGGTTAAGCTCATGCTCGCAAGACTGATATGTCCTGCGTTCGGATCCCCCGAGGCGGAGTCATGGATGCGTGCTGCTCAGGAGTTCCACAATAGGACGAAACGGCCGTTCAGTGCTTCCAGGTTTTTCATGGTGTTCTATCTTCAGTTGACTTATGGTCTCAACTATTGAAATAAATATTCACTAAAATGTCGCTTGAAATAAATAGCGATGAGCGAATAATAATAATATTGTTTGCCAGTGCAATGTCGTGCATGGAGGACAGCTGACAGATGCATTCCAAGTAAGGACCGGAGTCAGACAAGGCTGTCTACTCTCTCCCCTCCTCTTTCTTCTGGTGGTCGACTGGATTATGAAGACTTCGACATTTGAGGGAAAACACGGCATACAATGGACAGCTCAGAACCAATTAGACGATTTGGACTTCGCAGATGACCCAGCCCTCCTATCACATACACACGAACAAATGCAGATGAAGAAAGTCAGTATAGCAGCAGTCTCTGCATCAGTAGGCCTCAACATACACAAGGGGAAAACCAAGGTCTTCAAATACAACACGGAGAACAGCAATCCAATCACTCTTGATGGTGAAACTCTCGAAGATGTAAAATCCTTCACATAACTGGGAAGCATCATCGATGAATAATGAGGTTCAGATGCAGATGTGAAGGCGAGGATCGGCAAAGCAAGGAAAGCATTCCTTCAATTGAATAACATGTGGAACTCAAAACAACTGTCTGTCAACCTATATTAAAGTCACAGTCTTCAATACCAACGTCAAGGCAGTCCTACCGTACGGAGCTGAGACGTGGAGAACTACTACAACCATCATCAAGAAGGTACAAGTATTTATCAATAGCTGTCCACGCAAGATGCAAAACATCCATTGGTCGGATACCAGCTAAAGAGGAAATTAGGAAAAGACGATGGAAGTGGATAGGACATAGATTATGCAAATCATCGAACTGTATCAAGAGGTAAGCCTGACCTTGGAATCGTGAATGGAAGTGGAAAAGTGGAAGGCCAAATAACACATTATATCGTGAAATAGAATTAGATATGAAAAGGATGAATAATAACTGGAAGGAGCTGGAAAGGATTACCCAGGACAGGGTTGGAAGGAGAATGCTGATGAGCGGCCTTTGCTCCTCCCTCACGAGGAGTAACAGGCGTAAGAGGAAGCCATTTTTGGAAAGGACTGTTGTTTATTGTAACACTAATGACTAAGTACACGTATCTTTAGAGTGTACAATACCAAGTCATTCCTAATATAATAAAAAAACTCCTAGAAAACAAAATTAAAATGTACATTTAATTTGCATTGTTTTAGGTTTTGAGATTTCTAGGGTTCTATTTACGCCAGCTATGTCTATGGTATCGAATTCCTTACATAAGTGAAGATATATGGTAATACTTGATTAAAGTCGAAGATGTGCAGTATGTGACTCCTGACTGTCTTACATGTGATCATTAGTGAGGACTTGAGTGAATATGTCTCATTGACCCGTTCAATACTCTACCTAAATAGCTGTCCTGTGTGTTCTAGTTTTCGATAGTTGTTTAGCAAAGATTATGTAAACTATAAAATTTCGAATTCTTCAGAACACAATTTCTCATGTCATTTTCAGATTACCTTTGTTTTTTTATTGCTCTGTCAAATTTATAAAAAGGATTAATTGTTTCAAAATTAATTTATTCAATTCGTCTTTACAAATGTTCACATCTATTAAAGTATACTTTCTTATTGCTCATGTTTATGCACGACAACCTATTAGTGAATAACATTAAAAATTGTTTATTGCCTATATATTTAAACTGTCAGTTAGTAAATTGAATGAACAAAAAATCTATTTTTACTATCGTTATATAAGAAACTGGGATTGTTATTACATTAACTTATATAGGTAATATTAATAGTAATATGATGTTATAACAACTCTCCTACAATCAATTTTAATTTTGGTTAATTCAGGCTAAGCCCTTTTATTGACTTGACAGACAATATGGTTCGGATAGTAACAATTCGCACATTTCTTTGTTATATTATGATCACTACCATATCTGTTTAAACATGTACGCTTCATCACATGAAATGCTCTAGCTCGAGATTCATTCTCTTTCCCGTGTATATATGTACTGGAATCCTAATACTAGCCTTCGCTTCACTGTGCCTTGATTCGATTTCACAATAAATTCACATCTGTTTTTGCTCTCTCTCTCTCTCTCACACACACACACAGATTAACCTCTCAGCTTCGAATTCGTTCGATATGCTTGTAACTTTGTTATCCGTCTGATCCGCTAATAAACTTTATTAGTGCTACTTTTCGCCTTCTGATTTGAAACACCGTTGGGATTTATATAATAACGGTTATCGAGGTGACTGATTAACGAGTCTAAGCCACTACAATTTTCGTTTATTTGTCGAAATACCATTGTATTTCTAATTATTTATTAAAAAAAACATATTCTTTCTTATTCAGAAAATAAGCCGATGTCATTTAAAGAATTTGTTTTTAGAATGCTTAATCGCGTTACATTGAGTTGGAGACGGAATCTTTGCAGGTTTAGAAATACGGTTCACTGACAGACTCCAAACTAGGAAACTGTTACAAAGATTTATTTTGTTGATAATACTTACATCTAGATTTCATAAAATGATTTTACTTACTTTCTCCTTAGACACTGGTAAGGTTTGTCTTATCATTTTCAGCTTATTATATTTAAATCAAACTCTGTCAAAAAACAGTGAAGAATTAAGGGGAATTAAAAGTTAGGTTAACAAAATTAAGAAAAGAACAATGTCTAACAAAACAAATCTTGGTTAGCCTTATAAATTAAACAATAGAAAATTCATTTTTGCAAAGCCTCAATCTTACTGCACCTGGATTTAGTTCTGAGTGATGCGTATTTAACTACCGGAAGATCATGGAAACTACCAGGTTTGTTCACTGCTATCAGCAAGCATGAAATCAATTTAAGAAGCTTTTATTGGGTTTTCAAGTCAACAGCATTTTGTATTATTATAAAAAATGAATATTTGGTGGCCCTCAATCTGTTTATTGCACAAGTTGCATGAATAGACCAATAGATTCTTTTACAGTGGTTTAAACCTATCCTAAGTGCCATGAAACCCGAGTGTAACACATTTAATAAGAAGAAAGCCAAATGTGAAATGAATGTGTTCTTCCAGTGATGATAGAAGGTCGTTAAGAGCTATCTCGTGTCTATTTTATTTATTATCCTATCTTAATAAGATTTTCTGAAAATATTTTCTGAAGTGTAGAGAATAGCTTTTATGTACTTGAGTCATTACATTAATGGTGTAAAATGTTTCTATGAAGTTGCTGAACACTTTCAATCAATTTATTAAGATGCTCTGTAATTTTGTGCCAAAATACATTCGGTTGTCCCCACTCGTGTTCTTTTCACTACAGCTTGACTTAATGAATTAAGACACTTGTTAACTATATATTTATTTGTTTAGATCAATGGTAACTCTTAGAATAAAGTTAACACTATAAAGTTGTTTGTAGGAAAAGGTAGTATTCGCGTCTGTCTGAAGAAATTTAGATCCTTTTATCTGTTAATCTGTTCAGTAAGACATAAAATTACTGCGTTGAAATTCTGTCCAGGAAGCTAGTAAGTAAGCTTCCTAGTAGGAAGCATCATAACAATGTGCATCCACAACTCACCAGGCGTTGAACCCAAAACATCCAGCCATTACTGCGAATGACTTTAATTTTGACCAATAATACCATGTATACCTGACATCAATAAACTTAGGACATAGAACAACCATCGTGGATTATCTTTAGTGGATGCGTACCTTAGAGTTCATATAGTTTCAACCTATTTATCATGAATTCGATAATAAAAGTTGGTTAGAAACAAATCTTTAAAGGTTTACCTTCCGAAATTATAGGCACTCTGAAAAGATTGAACATCTTGGGTTCGATACCTGATGGATTGTGGACGCCCATTTTTGTGAAGCATCATATTAAGACGAAATAAATGCTTAGTGGTTCCTGATCGTCAAAAAGTGTCTAACTTTGGTTGATTCATAATATACTAAAAATTTGTTATTATATAAACAATTAGATAACGTTTGTTGATTTCATCATGTATTTTGACACTTCTTATTTGTTTTTCTTTTCTCTTTATTATAGGTGAACCATTCACTTGTGATTTTACAGTTACACCGATAAGAAATGAAAGATCTGAAGTTGTTCTTTTTCTCTGTTCATATCAACAAATAACGCAAGATTTAATACATCCTAATATGTATCAATCAGGCTTCAAAATGAATCATTCTAAAACTCATTCTATACTTTCATGGGCATCGGAATTACCATTTTCTAAAAGTTATCTACATATGAGAAATAATATTTTTGGTAAATTACAATTAATCCTTTAGAAATTTAGTCTATTTTATATTGCGTATAATGTATAATTTAGGATTAAAATAAGAGAACAATAGGTGAGACTATAATATATGGACGAACCAATCACGTATAAGATAAGGGTCTCGGATTTTGGCTCGAAATTCATTCATCCATTTGGCTAAATAGAGTTTTCGCATTAAAGCTTATGTCAGTTTGTGATGAAAACGCTAAATCTAATTCCTAACCTTCGTCATCAACTGTGAATCACAATTCTAATTCCACACACATGTTTATAACCTTCATTTGGTCCTAGTTATTAGGTGTACACTTTCAAGTTCAGTCTAGAGTAGTTCAAAGGTCGTCTATAAATTATAGTCTCACCGAACAATATACTGTTTATTTCTTAACTTCTTATCTGTTATTACTTATGCATGATTTATCGAATATTTTATTGAGTATTAAGAAAGAAAATAGTTATACTCCTTTCTGGTTGCTATTTGACCTGACGATATATAGTGGAATATGAGAATGTTTAAGGAACATTGAGTTTACGTTACATATGACGTAAAATATTTTCTTTGGTTGATAAAAAAAATTAAAATGTTTAGATTTGAATAAACTGATATTGTAACAACTACCATACAAACAATTTTGCTTAGGATTAATTTTGGTTAAGTCCTTTTATTAACTTAATTAATAGACAATGTTATTTCAACAGTAACAATTCGTATATTTCTTTGTACCTTCGTTATGATCACTAGATCACATGTCAGAATCTAGTTAAAATGTTGATTGCTTAAACACCACTCAATGATTCATCCTCCTCCTCATGTACATATGTACTCAAATCTTATTATTAATCCTTGCTTTACCTTTCTGTGCCCTCGTGCCATTTCACTATAAATTTTCCTATGCAATTCCTCGTATATACTTATTCACCTCTCCACTTCGAATTCGGTAAATGTGTCTATAGCTTTGTGATCTGCTCTATCCGCTAATAAACTGTAGTTTCCGATTTAAAACAGCGTTGAGATTCATATTATAACGGTCATCGAGGTGATTGATTAACGAAGTAAAGCCACTATATGATTATCATTTCGAAAAAATTTAAAATTCATCTAAATAATGTAACACTGTCTTAAATTCCATATAGATTGTACTTAAATCTGGGTTCACTAAATTCTAAATCTATCCTAATGAGCTTAGTTTATAAAAGAGCTACAACATCATTCCTCCTATCATCAATGTATATTTTATAATTTCAAGATAAATATCAGTGTATACTTTATTTAATTGCTGTAAACTTAAATGTGTATCAGATCAAATTGATTGTTTGACTAATCGAAATTGTCGAAAAGTTCCAATTGTCTCTTCTAATTCATAATGTACTTCTTTTTGTGGATTTGTGTAAATTTTTCTTAATTGACCAAGATCATTATATATTTTAATAAGATAAACAATCGTGAAACTGAATCGTCAATTTTTTTAAAAATTGAAAGTAACATTTCTTCACATGGTTAGCACACACTAAAAGAAACACTAGTGAACTTTATACATTTAACAATAAACACGTTTATGAAATCTTCTAGAAAAAAAAGAAACAAACAAACTAAAAATCCAAATGAACAAAGATGGATAATGGCCAGCAGTGGAATCCAAGAGACGCATTTCTCCCTGTTTGGGACTCATCTGATGGACGTACCTGTATCTCAGGTTTGATGTTCACTCTGGGACTCGAACCCAGTACCGTTCGCTTCAAACGCTATCACTTTCACTAATTTACTGAAAATAATTCAAATGAGAATGATATTGATAATTTTTAATCGATAGACTTAATTATCAACAAATTGATTATGACACTTTAATATAAATGGTCTTATTCTAACGGAATTGTAAAATTAAGTTAGACGACTATATTACTTATAAAATATATTTGTCAATAAATGATGTTAACTGAACTTGTCTAACTGTGAATATTCCATTATTTAAATTCAGCCGAAACCGTTGAAAATGATGAAGCACATCTACAACGTTCCTACTCCAAAGTCAACCTTACTCAAACAAGTATTTTAAGTGGTTCTCCAGAAGAAAACGATCCATACGAGGAATCACCTACATCAACAACTACTTCACAGTCAATAAGCAAACATTATCTTAATATTACTGGAACCGTCAGTGCAACCCCATTATCTATATCTTACAGTAATCAGGATCTTCTAAAAGAATCCCAGATCAATATTAAGAGAAATTCATATGATATGACATCAGATTTTTATAATGAAACCAAACTAAATTATCCTAAAGAGTACTACCTACCTTCTTATTGTCAGTCAACATCGTTTGTAGATGTCCTACATAATCCTTCGTGTACTACAATACCCCAAAACATCCCTCGTAAATTTAATGCATGTATTCATAGAAATTTGAGTATATTGTCATTACCTCAAATAAAATCACAACTGAGAAAATTCAGTCGAAGAAAAAGTATAACGAAAACTTCTGAAGAAATTAATAATAAAAGAATTCATGAGTTCACATTAACTTCACCTGCGAAATCTCCAGTTGTCAGTTACGCTAAATTACAATCTACTACTTGTAATTATTCACCTATCAAAACAGACAAAATTATAACGGTAAATGAGGTAAGTTAGTAGTTAAATAACAGTTAGACTTATTATTAAACCCTATGACTTAAAGAAATATTGAAATTACGACCGATGAATACCATCTTAATGATCTTGCAAAAGTGAAAGGTTCTATGTTACGATTTCTTTTAAAGTAGTGAATTGAAACTATTGAAGAGATTTATGTCAGGACGAAATAGGTATTTAGATTTCGCTGGTTTCTTTGTTGTCTGGAATGTCTGTTAATAACTTTTGAACTAAATCAGTCGAACATTTATCATACAGTACTTTCAGTAACTACCTGATACCACAACAATAAATTCTGCTCATTCTTTAATTAGTTTTCTTAGAAAATTCAATCCGTTCAATGAAACCAGACGACACATATATATTCCATTGTAACAGCGAATAACTGTCAGTAGTTTACATAGTTGTGGAACATTTGAAACATGTTTCCAAATTTTACGTTCATTCAAATTGACTTTTTAAACAACTATAGAAATTCGAACAAGTATCGTTCAGTATTTCAGGTAGGTTACTTTCAAGCCATTATAATGAGTACTGAATAAACGTCAGTCATTATGATCCACTGATGTTTAAATGAAAGAAACAGTTTATGAAGGTTTACTGTCATTCATTATTGTAACCATATTACAAGTATTTATAGATGAAAAATTAAATGGAAAGAAACACCTTTGACAGTAATCACTTCATATCTCTAAAAAGAATCCAATTAATGTTGAAATTCTAAAGCTGGAATTCAATAATTAACTGAATTTCAAAAGTTTATACTTCAACTTTTTTAAGTTTATTTGAAACAATATTTTTCATAGTATCTTCAAAGAAAATGGTTGATGCGTTAACTTTCATCAGTGTTAATGTTGGATAACTCTAACAACAGATAACCAACGTAAAAGTCATTCAACATACTCATTGGTCTTTATTATCTTGAAAAATACTTTTTATTTAATCGTATATTCTCTAGGTTGCTGAAATTTCATTTTGAATAGTCATTATTGGGATTCGTGTACTCTATAATCATTATTATTTAACTAAAATTGTATTACGAAAGTTTTTATAAACTTTGATTTCGCTTATAAAGTGATTCAAGTTAACACTTTATATTAGTCAGCCCCAACATTAACGATTTGATTTGATTGTATAAAACAAACTTGGATTTAACTAAAATATTTCTGAATACTTTAAGATTACTGTTGTGATTGTATACCCGGCTTGTTATCACGTGATTTATCCGCCAATCGAAATACGACCTATACAAACTTCGCACAGTGCTAAACCAATGACTTTCGACCGGTATGAGCAACCTAGCGTCCTTATTGGTCCCATATTCACCTAGCCCGTACAGTTGAGTTCAGAACATCAATACCAGTTTCCAGCTTTCAGACATACTGGGTTTATATATCAGCCAAAAAGTGGTTGTGAACGTGGGAGACGGTAAATAATAAACCGAGTATAATTTAAGAGCAGTAAATCATATAATAACAAATTATAAGTCAAAATGAAGCTTACAATAAGGGGAATATAAGTATACATAATCTAATTACTGAATAGTTATACCATAAGAATATATAAATAATATTAGTCGATTAATAGGTCTCAGAAGTTACTCGTAATTTAATCTTCACTAGGATATAACAATTAAATTATGATATGACCATTTTCGAATGCTTGAGAACGATTGAAATTTTTATGTTACATTATTGTAACGTACAATGTCAGTTTATGCACAATTAATGAAGTTTATTAATTAGTCATTCAACTGTATGATAATTTGCAATATGGATGATTTTAAATAAATGAATTATATCTAAGGAGAAAGGTTTCTTGTCACGTCCCTTAAATGAAGTGATTTTACTTAATTCAACCGAAAGGGTGTCTGTTTATTGATAGGTAATGATTTCACGATCAAGTTGGTAGTTAAAATAGTTGGCACACCATATCATTATATTGCATGCTGAAACACTCCGTGATCTCATTCCTGATGAAATAGGGTTGTTATAATGAAGGGACTCTCATGGGCAAATGTTTTGTATAGAAAAAGTTTACATGTTGACTACAATTTTAGTACTATACTGAAGAAGCTAAAATAAATTAAACCAATCTTCATCAATACACCACAAAATGCGAATCCTATGAAGAAAACTGACGCTTTGACATTTCCTTATGCAATAAACGTTATAATTGACTCATTGCAAAATATATATGCTAATTAGACCGGGTAAATTATCATAAGACCATAAGTAACAGAAATAACTCTTACTTTCTTTGTTTGACTCAAGAACATTAAAAGGTAATGTAATATACACAATCAAAAACTTATTGAACTAAAAAATACTTTTACTGAATCTGAAAGCATTGAATGACTACTTCAAGTTTTGCTTTGTAGATAAAGTTGTATAGGAGAACTAAAACCAAAATTCGGTTAGTCAATTTTTGAACTACATAAGTTGAGATAATTGTCATAATTAACTAAAAATGTGAAATTGGCACTTTTAAGTATGCTGTTTTTATAAAAAAATTCACTCTAATTTTATTGAAATAAAAAGTACCATACAGTTAAGCATATTTAGTAATTTCATGTGTATGTGTTTGTAGTGTCCGTTACTATGTTAAGACCATATAACTTATTTTAGCTTCTAGACAAGTCAAGTTATCGATTCTTCTTGAGTCATGTTTTCACCTTGGTAATTATTCAATTATCAACCTTCATTGATTTTATATGGGCGTATTTGTGTGCACTTCTTATTCTATTCATCGCATGTCTGTAACTTATTTTTGTGTGACTATAAATATTGGTTCACACTTATTTAAATTGTGTTGGTTCATATGCCTTCTCCACTGTGCGTTCTTAAGTTTTGCTTCATTCGCTGAGATTTTCTGACTGTCTGTTTCGATCAACGGGTGTACAAAATATATTCCATCAATCGTTTATTCTAATATTTGACTTATTTAGTACCGTTATTCACCAACGCGAGTTAGGCCGATAATTATATACGAGAATAGCCAGCATGTATATTTTGACAACAATCAAACACACGATATAATTGGAGTCAGATATCGGGCCATTAAAGTGGTACGCCTGCCGATGACAAACCGAACGCAACAAGTTACGTCGATAAAGTAACTTTTTCACTCTATACTTTCGACGAACAAACTAAATTACAGATATGACACTGAACATATGTCATACGAAAATATTTTCTGTAGATAGATTTTGTAAATTTAGTTCTAATGTGATAGAAATCTATTTCAAAAGTACTATAGTATTAGCGAAAACCTATAAACCTAAATGTTTTCGTTTCTGAATGTAGAAAAAACTGGATTGATGATACATTTGGACAATAATCGAGAAATGTACACTCCATGCACTATGTTGAGATTAGATGGTGGTTAGAGGTAGTCAACAGGACCCGTCAGCAAGGTGTACCTGTAGTCTTGAGAGAACTGGTGCTCCCTGACGGGTTCGATCCCGTGTCACTTGGTCGATAGCATTCAATCTTCACTATGTAGGACTTGACACACATTACATTGAACAACACCCAGTGATCAATCAATTATGAGTACACATCATACATTTAACCTGTATGTTAAAATTTCCAGACTAGGATGATACATCTATCTAGTATTTTACCTTTAGTTCTACATGAGATTCTCAACTAATATAGGTTTTTATGCAAAATATATTTAAAGATTTGCCACAATTTATTCACATCATCTCCTCCTTTACATTACCGTTAGTTTTCATTATTAGTTATATTTTATTTTCAATTCATAATGTTTATAATGTCAATGTCTATTCAACAGAGGATTAGAAAATTTCTATCATTTAGTCAACTGTCTAGATATTATGTAGTTTATGTTACGAAAATATTTGTTACATCAAAAGACTAATTAAATGTGTTCAGGTGAATTAGATTTGTGCCTTTACAAACATCCATTTTACACAATAATACAAATGTATGTATGTTTATTTGCCAATTTAGAGAATAGAATGGATAATTACATTACATAAATAAATTAGATTGACTAATTTACTCGACTGATAGAATCAAGATATTCATTTATCTCATCTCATTACGGCTTACTATAGGACGTTTACAATTTTATGTTGATTGATTTTATGTTGATGCATCCTTTTGAGATTTAACATCGATTTGGGAGGAAAAAATATCAGAATCTATAAGCAAACAATGTTGAAACTTTGTCCCAAAGACACGTATATGTTTATTAAGCCTTTTGATCAATCATATAGAAAAGGTAAATAGAATTTGTCTTGAGAAATAAGAATAGAATGTACACTAATGAACTTGTTACATTTGTAAGTTCGTATATAAATAAGTTTCGTAACCCATTCATCTGTTATCATTCATAAGATTAAAAAATAAACGAAACCATCAATAGGTTATAATAATAAAAACACTGATTTATATATATTTTTATTTTCAAACTACTGATACATTAAACGCAAATTATTCGGATCCCTTACTTACTTACTTACTTTCATAAGCCTGTTACTCCGAATGGATCATAGGCCATCGACCAGCATTCTCCAACCTACTCTGTCCTGGGCCTTCCTTTCTAGTTCCATCCAATTCTTGTTCATTTTTCGCATGTCTATCTCCGTTTCTTGGCGTAATGTGTTCTTTGGTCTTCCTCTCCTCCTTCAGTTTTGAGGATTCCATGTGAGAGCTTGCCTTGTGATACAGTTGGGTGCTTTCCTCAATGTGTGTTCTATTCACTTCCAGTGCTTCTTCCTGATTTCTTCCTCCACTGGGATCTGGTTTGTTCTATCCATACTAGGTTGTTATTGATAGTGTCTGGCCAACGGATCCGATTTATTTTGTGTAGATAACTGTTAATAAACACCTGTATCTTCTGGATGATGGCTTTCGTAGTTTTCCAGGTTCCCTCCTCATACAGTAGAACTGTCTTGACATTTGTAATAGAAATTCTGACCTTGGTGTTGGTTGACAGAGAGTTGTTTTGAGTTCAAGTTGTTCTTCAATAATAGATGTGCTACCCTTGCCTTGCCGATTCACGCCTTCACATCTGCATCAGATCCACCGTGTTCATCAATGATGCTGCCCAAATATGTAAAGGTTTGTACATCTTCCAAATCTTCTTCGTCAATTGTGATTGGATTAGTGCATTTTGTGTTGTGTTGGAGAATCTTGCTTTCCTCGTTGTGCATTTTGAGATCTACTACTGCTGAGCCTGATGCTACACTGGTCGTCTTCTCCCGTATTTGTTGTTGCATGTGCGATAGAAGTGCGGGATCATCTGCGAAGTCTATGTGGTCCAGCTGCATCCTAGCTGTCCACTGTATCCGATGCTTCCGCACAGATGTTAACGTCTTCATGATTCAGTCGATCGTCATGAGAAAGAGGGAAGGTGAAAGTAAGCAACCTTGCCTGACGCTGGTGTTTACCTCGAACGAGTCTGTTGACTGTCCTCCATACACGATTCTTCAGTAGCCCCAGAGGGTCTTCATGTGGAGTTTTGTCCGAATCCCATTATATGTTTAACTCTATATGCTTTTTACCATAATATCTATCAAATATTAAACACTCGTTTCTAAAGAGTGATGTACCTCACATATGATTAAACCGATACGTAAACGTTTCGATAAGTTATTTATCAAAGAATCTAATATGCTCAAACCTAAAGTGCTCTTAAACTTTTATCAAGCTGGGGATGTATTAGCATTTTCGTTTTCAAAAACACTTTACAAATTTTCAACGTTTAACCGAACAATGTTGTATTATAAACGATACTCCTGACTATGGATAATAGATTTATGTGACAATAAATTACACTAATTTCTGTCAGTTTGTTTATGTACGGAATTACTGAGTCTGTAGTTATAAAGGAAGCCTTTCGAGTAGAAAGTTACATGAAGACAGTTTTTGTGAAAATATTTTCTGTAAAAGTTCGAAATGCCGTCTAGTTGTCAATGGTTAACCGAATGATATCAGTTCACGGTTTAAGTGACCATCAACATACAGAAAGTTCTCCCGAGATGATCATGATAAATATCTTTATAAAACTCCAAACAATAATCAGGCGTATAGTAGTGAATAACTTTTTCATGATCGAAACCATTTCAATACATTATATAACGATCATAAACAGTCATTTTGTTGACCCAATTGTTCGTCTAAAGCCCGTATGTTCGAATATAAACCAACACAAATGTTTTTTTTGAAAATAAATGATTTTTACACCACTTGATGAAGTATATAGTTGTGAAGATTCATATAATCAGATCAAGATCTTATTAATAATAATGACAAAACACAAGTTCAGACAAGCTTTACATTAATGGTGAATTTCAATAAATTTCAGATAGATAAATCCGTTTTCTTATGAAAAAAGTTTTCATGAAATCAACTGTAACTCATGAAGTATCATGTTAAATGTAAGGTTCAGTATATCGAAAGCTTTATTCAAACGTATTGATGGGTATATGCCTTTATTTATGCTTATTAACTGAATGCTTTATTTAAACTAATTTCTAAATCACTCAGTGGGAAGATGCAGTTTTTTGACATTAAGTTGTGATATTTTTGTCAATCGTTAACCTTCCTAGTCTACAAACTGGAAATCACTCATTTATCTGAAGTAAGCATTCATTTGGTTTTTACGTACCAACATGAATGTTCGTTTTAGTTAAACCATCCTTTGAATGGAAGAAAATATCAGTGTATTTATTTATGTTATGATATTATTCGTAATCCTAATAGAAACACTTCGAATATACACTTCTTTGTTCTTAATTCTCTTTGTAATTCAGAATAACAAGAAAACTCATTTTTGGGAAAATTTTGATTATCTACCCTATTCAACTATTCTATCTAACCAGTCAAACTGTGATCAATCTAAAAAAGATAAAATACTACATTCTAATCAAATAAATTCACAACAAAGTCATTTAACTAATACAAATCAATTATCAGGTGCCTTGAAAACAGAATCAAGAAACAATAGCACACAATCAGATAATGTACTTATTGAAAATAAAATTAATAAAACTACCAATTGTTTTTCATTTATTTCACAACGTTTATCCGATAATCGATCTTATTCATATGGAAATATTTCAAAAAGAATTTGTGAACCAGATCCAAAAAAATATTCATATAAACGTCGAAAATCATTGGCTTTAATACATGGACTTGGATTTCGTGGGCGCAAAATTCGAAAAAGCAATTCATCAAAGCTTAATCAAGTTAGTTTTTAGTCATTTATCAAATTAAATTATGAATTGGTTTTTGTTTTCATTAGTCGACCATTTATAATTAATATAGTTTACATAAATAATTTATGCACTAATGTTTAGGATAAAAGTTTCAATATTTATTATTATTATTTATGGTGTTTAATAAGATGAGATATTAGCAGTTGATATTTAATGACTATGCTTCGTTACTCAATCACCTCGATGACCGTTATAATATAAATCTCAACGGTGTTTCAAATTAGAAGGTAATGAGAAGTGGCAAATACAATTTATTAGCTGATAGAGCAGATCACAAAGCTATAGACACATTTACCGAATTCGAAGTGGAGAGGTGAATAAGTATATACGAGGAATTACATAGGAAAATTTATAGTGAAATGGCACGAGGGCACAGAAAGGTAAAGCAAGGATTAATAATAAGATTTGAGTACATATGTACATGAGGAGGAGGATGAATCATTGAGTGGTGTTTAAGCAATCAACATTTTAACTAGATTCTGACATGTGATCTAGTGATCATAACGAAGGTACAAAGAAATATACGAATTGTTACTGTTGAAATAACATTGTCTATTAATTAAGTTAATAAAAGGACTTAACCAAAATTAATCCTAAGCGAAATTGGTTGTAGGATGGTTGCTATAGTTATTTGTTGACAAGATGGTATGAAAAATGAAGTTATATGAATAAATAATTATTCAGACCAATACTGCTATGAAGTTTCTCATCAGTCAAGCTTACATAGACTGATTTTGACATAAATACTAGTTTGTAATACAATTTGAATTTTAACTTATGCAGTATTCTCAGTATTATAAGATATACAGATGATGTAATGTTTTGATAAATATTGTAAATAATATAAACTTTCATTTAAAATTCAAGTTTTTGTTTTAATCAAAGATTATTACATAATTGGATGATCTGATCATCTAAAAATGTTTTTAAATCCAAATGAACTAGAATAAAGTATGAGAGTTCAGCATAATCTATTTCTGGTGTTTATGGGGCATTTATATGTTTTCTTGAAATTCATCAACCAGCGATAATATTTAGTGAATGGAACCTCTTCTCACTTACGTATACACACATAGTGTTATCTTAACACTTCGTTTCACATCACATGTTTCTTACACACTGGTGCAAAAACCTACTTTAGACATTGTTAACGTTGATTAGATGACCTATTCAATATACAGAGAACCATGTACCTATTTAATGCTCGATAATTTTGATGTTTGATTATATTTCTTTTGAAAACGCTTGGTCCAGATTGCTAGGCAAAACGTTAGATTTACTTCAAATTCATTCGTTGAGATTTTACAAATATACTTTTCTTCTTTAATGTCTCATATCAACCCGGCACCCAAATAATGTGAAACTATTTAATCAAATTTAGACGAAAGTTATTATATAGGCATTTATTTTTGTTAAGAAAATTTATGTGATATTCAAGGAAATAAAAACAAACGAAGCAAACTAAGCAAATTACATGTACACACAAAACACTCCTTAACCTTTACAAAATAAGAATGAGCATTTCATTAACAATCTACATCATAAATTAATAAATTAAAACAGTTTCTTCTAAATGTTTATTATGTATCATTTTTCAATAAAATAACAGGAAAATCTCAATTACTTACTCCTGCTACTCCTCGTGGAGGAGCATAGGCCATCCACCAGCACTCTCTATCCAACCCTGTCCTGAGCAATCTTTTCCAATTCTTTCCAGTTGTTATTTATGCTTTTCATATCTACTTCTTTTTCCCGACGTAATGTATTCTTTGAGATCATCTCAGCTAGAACTAAAAGCAGTCAGTGTTGGCTTACTACTGAATATACATTATTTTTTAAAATTTTGTTCAATTAAAACAAGAGATTGTTTAATAACAATCAAAATTCACTTTTTTATTTTTATTGAGAAAAAAACTTGCTGCTATGTACACAACATCTGTTAATTTCAAGTGATATACCTATCCCTTGAATTACTAGCTTGAAAATGTATACTGTGTTGATGAAAAACACTTACTTACTTACTTACGCCTGTTACTCCCAATGGAGCATAGGCCGCCGACCAGCATTCTCCAACCCACTCTGTCCTGGGCCTTCTTTTCTAGTTCCATCCAATTCTTGTTCATTTTTCTCATATCTATCTCCATTTCCCAGCGTAATGTATTATTTGGTCTTCCTCTCTTCCTTCGACCTTGAGGATTCCATATGAGGGCTTGTCTTGTGACGCAGTTCGGTGTTTTCCTCAATGTGTGTTCTATCCACTTCCAGCGCTTCTTCCTGATTTCTTCCTCCACTGGGATCTGATTTGTTCTCTCCCACAGTAGGTTGTTGCTTATAGTGTCCGGCCAGCGGATCTGAAGTATTTTGCGTAGACAACTGTTAATAAACACCTGTATCTTTTGGACGATGGATTTCGTAGTTTTCCAGGTTTCCGCCCCATACAGTAGAACTGTCTTCACATTTGTATTAAAAATTCTGACTTTGGTGTTGGTTGCTAATTGTTTTGAGTCCCAGATATTCTTCAGTTGTAGATATGCTGCTCTTGCTTTGCCAATCCGTGCCTTCACATCTGCATCAGATCCACCGTGTTCATCGATGATACTGCCCAAATATGTAAAGGTTTTTACATCTTCCAGAGCTTCTCCGTCAATTGTGATTGGGTTGGTGCATGCTGTGTTGTATCGAAGAATCTTGCTTTTCCCTTTGTGTATATTGAGACCTATTGCTGCTGAGGCTGCAAGCTACACTGGTTGTCTTCTCCTGCATTTGTTGTTGTGTATGCGATAGAAGAGCCAGATCATCTGCAAAGTCTAGATCATCCAATTGCATCCTAGCTGTCCACTGTATCCCGTGCTTCCCTTCAGATGTTGATGTCTTCATGATCCAGTCGATCACCAGGAGAAAGAGAAAAACACTAGATAAATGTATATCATCTTAAATGTTATGTTTTTAGAAAAAATTTAAATGATCTTTGGTTATACATTCAAAAAATTACCGAAATCAATATAAACAATTTCGATAAAGCAAAGATGGATGATGGCTAGCAGTGGAATCCAGGACACGTGTTTTGTCCTCTTTTGAACTCGTTAGCTGGATGTGTTTGCACATTCACTCTGGGACTCGAACCCAGCACCGTTCATTTCAAACGCCACCGCGATATCCACTTACCTACTGAGTCCTCATAGCCACATGCTTGTGCAATGGAGTGAAGTTTAAATTCACTTGATATTGTTTGCTTGTATCTTTCCATTGTTGTTTAAGATTGCATCTGATCAGTCATTTGTTAGCATATGTGCATCTTTGCGAACTGCCTCAATATTGCTTTAAGTCACAAGCTAGTAACCATCCATCTTTGCTTATAATGATTGTGAACTAAAGCAGTGTCGAGATATTCCGCACAGGATGCACATATGCCAATAAGAAACTGATCATTTGCAGTCCTAAACAACATGGAAAGTTACATGTAAACAACACCACGTGAATTTCGATGTATTATAAATAATATAAAAAAAATAACGATTTATTGAAAACATATTTTCTTTAGTGTAATTGTTTTGTAGTTATCATTATTTTTATTGTCAAAATGATGAACTTGTACTGTATTATTATAACTATTAATCCCCAAAAATGAAATAATCTATTTGAATCCTAAATGAAGTCATGATACAAAGTGAAAATAGTCTTTTAATGGATATTAGTAACAAGTACAACCACTTCGTTAAATTTCATACGCATAGTTCCCTATAATATTTTGAAAAGAGCAAAAACAAAGATTCTAGTAGAATACCATGAATTCATTTTATTTCGTAGGTTCTCGTTAGCTGCTTACAACCTGTGATATTTAAAAAGCCTAATTACATAATAGGCTTAAATTACTTACATGCAAGGGTTTGGTTGGAAGTTATGTTGAAGACATAGTTGTATAGTATAGTAGGGGTGTAAATAAATTTAATAGACTGAATATTGTAAATGTATACCTTATGTAAAAGAACATTTTACAACATAAATTGTGACAACAGTTCAAAAGGCCAGAAACAATTTATTACATAATGAGTAAACATTGATAGGAATAATGTGAGTAGACCCCAGTTGATAAAATAAGTTTATTAATTTGGAAGATAGTTGAAATAAAGACTGAATGATGTAATAAATCCAAGAAAGAGTTTAAAGAAAATGAAAAAAAATATTAAGGTGCAGCAAAGGAATATTTTTCACCAAGGCAAGGAGAGATTAATAACCATCTCCTTTTGAACACATAAGTCAGGTTTTTGGCGTCTGATAACCTTCTAATAGATTATAGTTAATTATTGAAGATAATCTACATCAATTTTAACAGATATACATACAATACTCGTGATACTGGTGGTTTTCCAAGATACCACATGTACATTAACTATATATGTTTACAACTCTTATCCGGAAAGTTATGTGCATTTTATCTAAATTACTAAATGCTGAATAGAATCAGTAAAACCCATGGAATCACTGTATTACACTTTGTTAATATCATGACCTATTACGTCTAATGTCTACAATATAAATTGCATAGAATTACTATTTCATGTTGATATATGTATTCATGTGTAGTTTATTAGTCAGTGATATAATGCAACACATATGTAAAACGTTTTCCTTTCTTTTCTTTTTTTTCTGTTTTTTTTTAAGCAAATTAAAAATTTCAGCGTTAAAAATGTCCCCGAATATAAAATACAAAAATTAACTAAATCAAACTTTGTTCTTCTACATTATGGCCTTTTTCATATAATATGGGACTGGTTACTTTTGATATTAACATTCTATATAGCATTTATTGTACCATATAATGTAACATTTGAAAGTCATTCAACGCATTCTGGTCGATGTAGAATTATTGATTTAATGGTAGAAATTTTTCTAATTGTTGGTAAGTTCGAAGAAAAAAATTAATGGTGATTTGTCTACTTCTTTATATGATGTCATATGTTATTCTATACATTACATTTGGAATTGTAGACATTTGGCTTTTTTCGAAGATCATTTCTTCAAACTAAACGATTGAATGATGACTTACATAATATTAACTGAGAGTTAAAGATTTTCCTTATTCCAAATGGCGATCATAGAATAAACCCATGTACATATATATAGTGTAAGCTCTTTCGTACATGAATGTTAAACACCTATCAATGAATCTCCTAATTAGTTATTCCTCCTTTACAACATATCCGTAACATAGTTAATTCTTATTCATTACTGTATGTATATTAGACTAAGAGTACAAATCGTCTTATTATTTCTTGTTAAGATTTGTATCTTCCCATTATTGATAATAACAACCTTAGTTTTCTAAGCGCATTCCCGGTGTCATTCAGGGGATCCATATATACTGTATGTGACTAAAACTCAATAAAATATTTGTGTAGTCTCTAGAATTGGAATCCAACAACTGTGTTTTACTCTATTTTAGATACCCAACTGCTAATTTCTAAACAATAAAAAACATGTCTTACATTCCATAACAATCCATCATTTAAATATTTATTCTGTCTATTTGTTTAATATCACTAATACGTTTATACTCGGAACATTCTAACATACAGCTTAGTTTTAAAATGTAATTACAATTGTTAATTCCTCTCTCAAGTATTGATTTTCATGGAAATGGAATTATGTTAAATCTGTTTTTTTTTTTTTTTACTTTATTAACCATCATGTAAGTTGTGTAAATAACATGTTGGTCTCTTGATGTATTCGATTTGATGTAATTCGAAGAAAAAAAACAAGCTAAGCGATGAAATGTTTCTTTTCAATTATTTCTTCATCAGGGCTTTATACTAATACACATGTATTACAAATGCGTAGAAAGTCGATATTAATTAAATGGTGTTGAGTCAATGTAATCATATAATAATCACTTAGCTATACAACGTTTGAAAAATTAAAAGTAAGATGAAACTTCATAATCAATAGATGATTACAAGTGGTTACATAAGATTAAGAATAGGAATCGATATTGGATGTAAATATAAGCCATGAATCGATCAATGTTGGACAACCATTGAAAACCAGGAAGCACTGAACAGCCGTTTCATCCTAGTACGGGAACCCTCAGTAGTGCACATCAAAGATCCTACAAGTGGGGCCCAAAAGGTTTTAAAACACGTAATATTGTCCAAGTAAAATTTTGTTTGGTGTACATGGGTTAAGTTTTTTTAGTCGTATCCCTATGGCATCTGATATATGTAGGAGTCAGATTTTGGAAATGTAAAGTAAATTTGATGAGATTTTGTGAATAACTTGAAATGGTGACGTTATACCTATGGAATGACCAGTTATCATTAGATGAACCAAGATAAAGATTCTTATTTATATTTTATATTTAAATTGTACACTGTCATAGGTACGCGATAAAATTTAAAAAAAAACTTTGAAACTAGTAACGATGCCATAACTGTGATTACAGTAAGTAGTTTTCAGCTCAAATATGCAATACATTTCTAAAAATTCAAATCCAAAGTTCATAAACGGTGGTTAATTGCCATTAATATTTATCTGTAAATGTTGATGATCAGTTTTATCTTCTGTTATCACTTTTGATTGATCAATACACTTTATGCATGAATTTATGGGATTTAACTCTAGTTTTTCTAAAGGACCAAAGGAGAAGAAATATATAGCAGTTTCTTTTGTACTATTTATAGTTGTGTTGGTTTTATTTCAGTTATTTATTTACCCTGAAAAAGTGGCTTACATTAAGTCACGAAACGTCAGAAATATAATTTTCTAATCCTTGGGATATAACAAAAAATATATTTATTATAGCAGTGATAGTTATGATTTATCTTTGATCTTTAATATGATTATTTGAACAAATATGTGTATACGTAGTTGACTTTGAACAATGTATCCTATTCTAACGAGTACTTTTCATAATATATAAATGTACTGAAAATTATAATCCCATAAATGAAAGACAGACACCAGACACTCTTTATTCACTCCAGTGAAATAAGTACACCTCAGCGACCGCGTACAACTTTATTCACTTGGTATTGATAGATGATGTCACCAACTAGCTCTTTTTTTGCCCTAAATCAGTAGAAGACTAAGTTTTAAATCTGTACTTTGGTCTTGGCGAAATTAATTTCAGATACCGTAACATGAATTAGCTTTATTATTCGCAAAAATATGATGGAAAAATGGTTTTCAGTGTCCAAGCTTTTATTTGGTACCCTGTAATTATGAGATTTCAAACGCTAAAATATTCTTTCGTCAGTTAATCACTTTCAGTATTCACGATCCAACGAGATCTTAAAGCGTTTTATATACAGAGTTATTATGTAAATTAGGCCATTATAGGTCAGTTATTTTATTAACTGCTTACTAAATTTCACGATCTATAGAATCCCAATAAAGTCTCAAAATATAATAATTTATACAAGAGGACAAATATTTGTCTTCCATATTAGCAAACAATAATTTGTGCAAATTATGGTCTTTAATTTCGAATCACAACATTTCTTTGTTTCCCTGTGAGCTTTTTGTATTGGCATATAACAAAAGTAAACGTTTAGAAAGAAAAATCACTATGAAACGAAATGTATTCAAAATAAACTGGTATTATTTTAGTCAACGAAAACTCAGGTGGCGAAAAGAAACTGTATTATTTTAGGTAAAATCGAAAAGATCATTTACATATCTTCATTCAGTTGTCCTTGACATACTCCATCTTTCCTCCTATCCTGTTGTTATTCCGATTGCTCTTCTTTTTGTTTTATCTTCTCTTTGTTTCACTCTTCTTCCGGTAAGCATTCTAATTCCTTTTTTGCCACCTACTACTGCTGTCTGTGCAAATACTACATGCCAATGTCTATTGTCTGTTAATACGATGAGCTGAAGTTTATTGCGATTCAAGTCTTTATTTTGTATGCATATGGATAAAAGGTAATTTCAAGCTATTTACAGAAATTGTTTTATTGTGATGAATAGTAAGGACTATGACGCGTGTTATATAAAAATCTTGATCACTCAAACCTTACATCCTTCACACCAACGTTAGATGAATGCTAATGACATCGGCTGATGCTTTTCATTTTTCTTCTTCACTTACTTACACCTATTATCTCTCAAGGAGAAGCACAGGCTGCACACCAGAACTCTCCATTGAACTCTTTCGTCGTCAATCCTTTTCAATTGTTTTTTGTCAGCCTCTACTTACCGACAAAATGTGTTCGTTGGTCCTTTTCTTTTCTTTTTTCCTTCACGATTCTAAGTTATCGCTTGCGTCTTCTTTATGAATACTAGAAAATGAGCTCTAGTTATTTCTAACTTAATGGTTTGACATCGTCGTAATTGTTGAAGGATCTGTGTTTACATAAAAATATCTTCCCATTATTTCATGGTTGAAGTCATTTCTAATAACCACGAATGCTGCCCTATAACACCTAATAATTATTAAAAAGCATCAAGAATTCTTATCCGTAGGCCATCTCAGAATATATAATAATTTATATAAACGTTTTACGGTTTAATTAACAATATTTGACTCTGGTCATTAGATGTCAGTCAATACAAATTACTTAGTAAGCTGAAATAGAAAACCTGTCTCAGTAACAGCCTCTATTTGGATAGTAAAGTACCCTATATCAAATATTATGATAAGCTATAAGATACATATGAAACGAAGTAACCACAACTAGTGAAAACATTTGATCTCTCATAACATTCAAAGCAAAATACAAAAATTTGAAACCTAGATAAAAAAGAAAACCTTAATTATAATGCCTCTGAATACGAAACTGGGCCGCTCACCAGCATTTTCTATCCAACCCTGTCCAGGGCAATTCTTTCCCTCTCTTTCCAGTTGTTATTCATCCTTTTCATAGCTGCTTCTATTTCTCGATGTAATGTGTTCTCTGCCCTTTCTACTTTTCACTTCCCTTCACCATTCCAAGTTAGGGCTTACCTCTTGATGCGATTTGATGATTTGTGTACTGTATGTCCTATCCATTTCTATCGTCTTTTCCTAATTTCCTCTTGAAGTGGAAGCTAGTTTGTTCTCTCACACAGAAGGCTGTCACGGATGGTATCCGACCAATGGATGTAGAATATCTTGCGTAGACAACTATTGATAAATACTTGTATCTTTTTGATGATGGTTGTAATAGTTCTCTGAGTTTCAGCATCGTACAGTAGAACTGAATATCTTGACGTTGGTATTGAAGATTGTGACTTTGATATAGGTTGACAGTTGTTTTGTGTCCCATAGATTCTTCAATTATAGGAATGCGACCCTTGCTTTACCAATCCTTGCCTTTACATCTGCATCTGATTCACCTTGTTCATCGATGATGCTTCCCAGTTATGTGAAGGATTCCACATCGATTATAAGTACACTTCACTAACTAATATCAAACAATAATGAAACTTAAATTCATAGTTTCGTGTCGATTACCTCTAACTTTCATTTAACATTTCAATAGTTTGTAATTAATGTTGAATCCATTAGATTAGCTCCTTTATTAACAACTTAAATAATAAATGATCAATTCTATGAATGATATAACATAGATAACATGATTTTCACCTTCAAAGATTATATATATATATATATATATATATATATATATATATATACCTTTTTTTATAATTTAATCCTTTTTTTTCTATTTTATTTTATTCATAGATGTTATATTAAATTTTCATACAACATATGTTAATAAAAATGGTCAAATTATAAATGATCGTCATTTAATTGCAAAACATTATGCTAAAGGATGGTTAATATTAGATTTATTAGCTGCTTTACCAGTTGATTTTATATTAATTATATGTCAAATTACATCAATTATTAATTTAAATGATGTTAATATGAATACAAATTTAATTGAAAAATTCAATAATGTAAATGTTTCAATAAATGAAACAAATGGATTACATTTATATAATAATAATAATAGTAATAATAAACATGAAATAAGACCTATAGTGAATTTTAATTTGGTAAGAATAATGACTGTATATTAATTCTTATTATTATTTTTTATTTATTCCAGTTTTATGTTTCCATGTTTACAAGGTAATAAAAGCGGAATTAATGTAAAAATTTAAAACACAAAGATCTACATTCTGGGAATCATCATCAACAGTCTATATATATATATATATATATATATATATATATATATATATATATATAACATTTTATTCGTGCTCAGATTGGAAATTATGGACTATGATAATCAAATATTTCCTAAGGTTTATTTATTCGATTAGTTGTGGATATTATAGTTATTATGTTCATTATCAGTAATTTTATATTAGAAAGAGTGATGTGGTATATTTTACATAAATAGCACATATATGTATCAAGAATAAAGTGTCTTCAACTGTTTTATCACCGTTCAGATTCATATTGATCATTTAAACCTATATTCTACCTGATGATTATTTGTTGCATAATTTAATATTTCTATAGTCACTCATTTCATTTTATTTAAGGTAACTGATTTTTGAAGAAGCATTTGGATTCTACTTTATCCTTATCCATATTGTTTTTATGAACATATAAAGATTTAATATCAGAAGGGGTTTTGTAGATATTATAGTAATTTCAATAGTTGAGATCATGAGTCAATTGAAGCTAGATCACCATGGAAAACCTAGAAGCACTGGACGGCTGTTACGTTCCATTGTGAAAATCCTCAATAGTGCTCATTCACCATCCCTAGCTTCAATTGTCTCACGATTTCAACTATTAAAATTACCAGATTAATCAACATATACTCACTAGTGACTGGCTTGAAGAGGTATTTCCTAGGGTTTTAATGAGAAGCAGTGACCATTGCAGTTCCACCAGATCTGTTGTGAGGTGGTAACTCACCGATGACAATGGTGGATGTGTCGCTCAATTTCATGAATTATTTGAAGTTAGATATTAGTACGGTTGTATGCTGGCTCAGTGGTCTAGTGGTTAAACGTTTGCGTGCAAGACCGATATGTCCTGTGTTCGAATCTGTCGAGACAGGATCGTGGATGTGTATTTTTGAGGAGTCGCACAATAGGACGAAACTGCCCTCCAGTGCTTCCAGGTTTCCCATGGTGTTTTAGTTTCATTGGACTCATAATCTCAACTATTGAAATTCTACTTTCTATAAAATCACATAAATTTGAGTTAAAATATTAAAATATTTGATCTAGTTTAAATAATATATTTCATAAATGAAAAATCTTTCTATCGTTTCGAACTGATAACTTTAACTAAATAATGAAATATATACATAATTAATTTTATTTTAATTATCTACAACTTAACTATTCGATTAACAAGCTAAATGAGAAGGAAAAGTGAATGAAAGTAAATTTTGACAATAAAAACATAATGTAGATATTTCTATAAAAATTGCTTCTATAATAGATAAATTTTTAAACTCAAGGCTAATTAACAAATAACTTATAGGCCAGGAAAATTTTTGAATGCCGCCTTCATATGCTTAATCGATTCAATGGTGTGTCTACATTTTCTACGCACCATTATTTATGGACAAAATACTGAGTTTAGATCATAAGTATTACTTAGTAACGCACAAATATCTGACATAATTTGGACGCCTAGTTTAAAATTATTGTAGATCTTTCTAAGTTTTCTAATTTTTAATTATATGTGAGCCAAAAAGATTGTGTTCATTGGAATGACCATCTGTATTGTTTGCTGCCTATTTTCAAATGATTGTTTTGATTTTATAGTTGATAGTTACTAAAAGTAGATTCATTCTCATGCTAATTGAGGATATAAGTCGTATCTAAATGTAAAGATTGCATGTGATCCAAGAAAACATTAATAAAATCTTTTCAATGTCACAATTCATAGTTATTATTTAATACAATATATACTTTAATATTTGCTTATTTCATTTTCTGCACTTGAGACGAAAAGATCTCGTGCACTACGTTAAATTCTTTCATCGAGTTCGCTTCCAGTTACCATAGTTTAGGTGTCGTTGTGCATTAAATTTCAATCTTTGTGATCAAATTATGTTAGAAGTGTCTTTATCGCTCACATTTTGAAAATGTACTCGTTGTAACGAAGTTTACATGAGTAAATTTAAAACAAGACAATATCTAATTTCACCAATGTTTTCTTTAGAATTATTCAGTGAAACACCAGTAATGTAGAGTAGGACGTCATTTCACATGGTAACAGTAGATATCAACATAAACAACATTATACACTTAATAAAATTATCATTTACGATATTTTAATTATATCGCACTGATTATCAATAACATTAGACTCTCCTGGAAAATTGTTTTAATTTATTAACCGAAACTTCAAAATTTTGGTTTTAGGCAATTTCCAGATACTCAGTTCTACGTTTTTACTCAGATTGTGGTGAACGAGAACACCAGTGGGGATAACATAATGCATTTGAATACAGAATTATGGAACATTTTAGTAAAATCTGAGAACCATACAGTAAATGCTTCATTTGCAAAATGTCACTCAATTGTCTCAGACTTGATTATTTCTTCGTTTCCACACTAATTATCCTCTGTTCTCGTTCTCTTTTCTTCGATCTTCTTTATATTCTGTCCCTAAGCATTTCACTTTCGACTGGTGATACATACTACTTATATCTGTCAACATCAGTAGCATACACCACAATATCTTTAAACTTTGCTGATTATTTGAATCTGTTTAAATGTAACAGTAATATGCAGTAAAAGTGATTAAGTTATAGAAATGTTTTATTGTTACTTCAAGTTAGATAAAAAATTGAAAATGAATGAGTAAAGGAAAAGAGTTCTAGAAAATTGTATACTTTGTCATTCATGGACCACTCGATTTTCACCTTTGGAATTTTTAACTTATACACTAAAATGCATACTTGAGAACTATCCACACATAAAACTAATTGATTGCTGAACATTACCGAACCCAAATTATGGAGTACATTATACTGAACAAATCCTATTATACAGCCATGATGCGATATTCAACTAAATTGACTACGCATAATTATGTATTATGTAGATGTTAGGTAGAATGAAGAAGTTTTCATTGAACCATAAGCCTAGTTTTCGTTTTAAAATGCACAATAATGTGTATCTGCAATATTGAGAAATCACGTTGTAATTCGGCAAATCGAGTATAATTAACACTAAGGAGTATACATCGCGACACTGGTAACTACTCTGAGACATTTATTGTAAACATTTTTATCTTAAAAAAGAATCAAGCATTGTTTAGTGCTAAAATCTCTGAGTGCAAGTAATGGTGTAGTGGACTCGAATCTCAAGGTGAGCATTCCAAAAGTGTTTGCCAGTGATTGATAACTTGGAAAAAAACCACAGTGGAGTTCTTTTTGTTAACTACTTCCGGTTAACTGATATCGTGATCTTTTTACACCGCTGTACTCTTTCATAAAACACTGATAACAAATGTTTAATTGTTAGTTGGAAAAAATGCCAATATTTAAATCTGCATATTTTTCCTAGTGTTTCCAAGATTTCTAATAAGAAATTCGACGTCTCAGTTCAAAATCATGTACTTTACTTCCAACTGTCGCAAAGTAACCTCCTTAACTTGAAACTTTTTTATTCATTAACACTACTGATCATATCTGCTTCTGTTAATTGATCAAAATAACAGAGTTACAATCTATTTTACAACACAACAAAATTAATTCTCCATAGATGAATTTCACCAGACATGTCTACCTTCAACAGGATGTGGCGCATATATATCTGGTGCCCCATTGTACCGATATTTATGTGTTCAAATAAATAAATTAATGAACAAACCTTCAACAGGATCAGTTAAAAACTCGATTAAAGCAAACATCACTATTAGTCATCAAGCTTTTGATATTCACATAGATAACTTCAAATACCTCTATGAAATTGTCCAACATGAACAAAACGAGAAATATTTTTTTAATATTTGTATTTGGTTTATGATTGAGATCACGAACCGATTGGTGTTAGACCACCGTTGGAAACCTGGAAGCACTAGACGGACCTTTCGTTCTATTTTGGGACTACTCAGCAGTGCGCATCTACGATCCCGCCCGAGGGATTCGAATTCAGGGCCTTAAGTCTTGGTTCATATTTCAGTCAAAAACTTAATAATCTCTACAACCCCTATACTGACACTTTTACTTGGTGTATATTCACCACCTAAATTTATACGTACAGTAGTTTTTAGGTTTTATATCTACAATTAACAATTTGATTATTTAAAAATAACTACTTTTTATTATTTTCACCTTTATAAATTTATCTATAGATATCATTGTTACAAATGATGAAACTTGCAAGGTTATTACGTTTAGCTCGTCTTATACAGAAAATAATTAGATTATCTCAGTACAGTGTAATTGTATTAGGATTACTTATGTTTAGTTTTGCATTAGTAGCACATTGGTGTGCTTGTATTTGGTATGTCATTGGTTTATACGAAATTGATGGTTCAGATATTGGTAAGTTGTAATTTAACTAATCTACATTGATATTATTATTATTATTATTCATATAAAAAGTAAAAATAAAATAGGATATCTACTGTATTTAATGTTACCAGATTGTTAGATGATCAGTTTGGGGAAATAAATATATCCATTAATCATGGAAATATTTCATTTTTGCATGAAAGATATGAAGCTGATAATTATTTGGTGTGTGACATAAATTATACTGTACTTCAGGTCAAGTTCTGTTCTCTAAGCTGGATGGTTTGCTCGTGAAGCTATCATTTTATTTCAGAATAACATAATCAGCACAAACTATCATTGTCTAGGTAGATAATAACAGATTAAAGTCCAATAATAACCAATCAAGATTGAGGTCGACACGACAAACTGTAAATCGGATGTGGAGAATTTCGATCACTTCAATTCTACCTGAAGTTTGTGTGGATTGTGTTGTTAAAATGACAATCTAAGCTCCATGATCCAATCATTAAACTTAGAGAACAAATATCCACCTAAATCGTCAAATCTTCTCTACTATCTCAATACCGAACTTATTGTGCAGGAGTATAATAAAAAACAGTGTTAAGAATCGGTCATACTAGAATTGGAGAATACTTCAGGTTATCACTGTGGTCATCACGCTTAAAGATTAGATAGGTATGAGTTGATGATTCAACAGGCACATCAAAACCAGCTATTCCGAAAAACATTATGTCCAATGTAGTGTCAGTTGCTATATCAAGCCCACATAGCTTAATCTAGGCTCTGGACAGATCAATCTATTCATTCTTTTGGAGTCACATGCATGTAACATATTTTTGTTCGACTATAAACATTTATTCATGCTTAGTTAAATCGAGTTAGCTCACACGCCTTCTCCATTGCGCATCATTTTGTTTTGCTTCACTTTTCGACCAACGATTGTAGGAAATATATGTATTCAAAAATTCATTCTCGTATTTGACTTATTTAAATCCGTTATTCACCAACGCGATTTAAATCGATGATTATATACGAGAAATGTCAACATATATAATCTAATAACAATCAACATACGATCAAAATTGAAGTCAAATATTCAGGTCCACTAAATCAACATACCATATTGAATGAGCATCAAAGTACTTAAAAAATGTTTGTTCATAAGTGTCGCATCTATTAGCGTTAATATAACATATATCATGAGAATCTAGATCGCAAGGTCAATTTAAAAAATATTCCATGTTTAAAAAAAAAATTAAATGCATTCTATAATTACCTCAAAGTACATATATTGTTTGATAATACTCCAAAAAGCTTCTACCAATGTACAAATACTATTCTATTCTTAGTGATGTAAAATGTCAGCTGATAGTCTATGAGATCATAATCTTTTTTAATATATTCAAAAAATTGATACTGACAATACTCTTCCTCTTCTATATAATTTCTACCGTTTTTTTCCTGATAATTCATAATTACGACACAAGATATTAAACAACTAACAACGAGTTATAATTAATATTTTTGATAAATTATTTAGGTCTATTATATTTTATTTATACAGTTACTTAGATTCATGTGCTTCCTAAAAAAAATTTAGGTTAATATTTCATCTAGGAAAATTATTAGCTTGTCAAATGCTTAGAAAAATAGAGTGAGGTATACAAATAATTCTTGTCATAAGTGAAAACTTAATTTCGATTCACTGGTTACAATAGACACGTAAACGATCAATAACTGCCAATCGCTTGATTTCATTGAGATGAAATATATTATGACTGACTGGTAGCTTCATAAGTAAACTAATACTTGTTTGACATTTGCTTAATCGGTAACTAAAAAAATACGACTAGTCTGTTTCTTTTTTAAAGAAGCAAAAAAAGCATTTTCATGCAGTCGATGACATAAAATGAACATGAAAAAAGATATTAGACCTAAATATTTTGTATTTTCTTATTTTGGATTGAATATAACAGCCTAGGTTTAGATTTGACCAAAATGTCTTAATTGCTTCATAATATCATTGGTTACATGCTTACATTATCTATACGACAGTGTCTATTAGTTATGTCCATGATGTTCAGTTTGTTCCGCTTTACGATTTTTTAGTGAGATTTATTCGCAAGTCAGTAGATTTTGCACCCACTGGAGCTACGGTCTAGCACAGTTCGCAAAACTGAATAGAAGGAAATAAGTATCCCGTATTTCTTTATGAAATACTGATAAACAAATTACTTTAGTGTACGACTAGTAGTAGTCATATGAGGATATCCAAATACAGAACCGAGCAAATAAACGGCAATACATCAAGATATCTGGCTAGAGGTTTTAACTTTTCTAGGAAATGAAGTAAAAATGAGTAATATGTTTATCAACGTTCTGATATTTGAAATAACAGATATCAAGGTCAGCTCCCTGTAAAAATTAAATCTTAGTTTCTACTGTGTTGTGGATAATCTTTAACGTACTGAATGTGTCATTTGATAACTGCCCGCTACATTAATTTCACTTATGATGCATGTGTGTCAATCGGAACCACTGAAAACCTGAATAACTGTTTTGGCTTAAAACTTGAAGCTGACCTCCTACATCGATAACGTTGCATAATTTTTCTTTCAACATAATGGCAGACAAAGTTGGCTTGTAAGTTGACTGGTCAATAAAATGTAAGACGTTCTTTTAAAAGCTAATATTCTTGTTACTAAGAGAAATCCAAATGGTGTCAGGGCGCAGTTTGAATTCAATGTTTTAACAAAAAATATTGAATAAAAAGGTTATATTCACTTGGTGTCGTGAAATATAAATTATCAGTAAGGAGTTGTGGAAATTGCTGATACCATCGGACTCCGGATCAGTGGTCTAGGGGTTAGGTGTTCGCGCGCGAGACTGTATGTTCTAGGTTCAAGTCTTTTGGACCGGATCATGAATGTGCATTGCTTTGGAGTCCCATGCTAAGACGAAACGACCGTCTAGTGCTTGTACGTATTCAATGGTGGTCTGACATTGATCAGTTCATGATCATAATTTAAATTTAAATTAGTTTGAAGATTTCTCCATTTGGTTACGTAAAACATTGAACAGAATAAAAAATCTTTTTCAGGGTATGGTCAAATTTCTCAAAACAGAAAATAAATGGCTTAAGTCAGTTTATGTACACTGCTTAAAAGTTCCGTACTCGAAAAAAACACCCGCCTAGTGCTTTTTAGAATATTAATCCTGATTCCTGTGCTCCATGTCAGTAGTATAATAGTTGGTTTTTGAAATACTTAGTTTAACTATCTAGTTGTCATGAGAGAACTGATAAACTGACTAACTAAATACTTAAAAAATATCGAAAAATTTTGTTAGATAGATCCATTTCATCGCGTTTGGTTGATGCTGGCAATCCGGAAGCTAATATTTGGTCATTTTGAGTGATCCATCGTGTTCGTTCACCGTTTTCAAACACTGTCTAACCTTATCTTCTTTACTGATAAAGAGTTATCGAAATTCAAATCTACAATCCTCATCTATGTGTTCGGAAGAAACTTGTAACAATCATACCATTCTTCTGTTTTCTAAGACCTAAAAAACGATTTGAAAATTTTTACCCCTCGTTTGCGCAATTTTCTCTGCCTCTTTCTTGTATATATTTTTTAGTAACCGATCAATTTAAAACTTCGTAATACGCAATTTGGATAAAATTTGTTGATTTTTTTAATTGCTTAATTCACCCACCTACTTCCTATTTCGACACACTGATTCAAGGTTTATTATTTTTACTATAACTACTACGTCACCACTAATATATCATCACAATCTGTAACTTTTACTCATGATTAGTTGTCTTGTCTCTCATTGTTGTTTTTCATACATAAAATGTCTTGATTGTTTAAACATTGTTTCAAACATCCATATAAATATTATTGTATCGTAGACTGAAACCTGAATGAATACCGGTTGGTTGGTATGTTCAAATAAAGGATAACTGCTAATTAAACGGAATTGGCTAAATTGTTGATTTTAACATTGCTCACCGGAAATCAGTACACTGAATTGTTGTAGCAACTTTGAACGATTGACCATTCATATGTTACTGTATTGCGAATGAAATAGAAAACATTCATGTATTTATAAGGTATTAAAATATACCAAATCGTTAATATTTAACACCGAATGTCATTTTATACACATCTGAATATGTAATAAATAAATAAACAGTTGACTTGCATAGTTGAACCAGAAAGTTGTCAAATAGATCTTTCACATTAATAAAAATGTTTTCTTAAGTTCTAGTAAAGTAGTTTACTGATAAAACTATTATTTTTATTGATAAACCATTATGAAATATCTAAAAGCACTTAAGGATGGTTTCTTGTTAGCACATGACTCTTTATCATTGGGCACCAACGATCCTGCATGTGAAAATCGAACCCAGGACCTTCGATTTTACACGCGAACGCTTAACTTCTAGACCACTGAGTTAAAATCCAATGGCGTTACCTTCAACTTGTACCAACTCATAACCCTATAGTGATAATTATCATGTCTTCAGTAATGACTAGCTTTGAGATGGAATTCTCAGAGTTCTAGTGAGAATGCCTAGCCAGTAGAGTTCAACCGTGTCGAGTGTGATGCGAATAACATTCAACTACAAAGGGAGATGGTTGGGTGATGTTGTTGATTGATTGAACTCAAACATCAACACCGTTGAATGACGATTCAGTAGTCCAGAGGTTAAGTGTTCGGATTTTACATGCAGAATCTTTGGCGCACACTGCTGAGGAGTCCCTTACCAGGACGAAAAGGCCGTCTAGTGCTTCCAAATCATGGATGGTGGTCTAACATTGATCGATCTATGGTTTCATTTAAATTCAACAATCTTCACAATTCTATACTGATAACCGGATTATTATTGAAAAGATTTGATGAAGGGATATTTTATTATTTATTTTTAATGATTTGAAAAATATTTTAAGAAGTGAATCCATTCTGTCAAACACTTGGCAACATGAATGACATTTTGAGGATTTTATATTTTCTTTTCT